TCTGGCATAAAAATTCCACAGAAATATTAGAATATGGGCAGAATACCCTGCAGAATTCAGCTGGCTGCCCCCCATTTCTCTATTAATGCATATGTACCAGATTGTCAGTCATGATCAGAGGAATAGTTCCACCCCTGGCTTGTTGTTTGCATGAGAGTAATACTGTGTTCTTTATGTGTCATGGAACATGTGACTTGTCATGTGTGATTATCATGTCAGCAAATTAAGATGTCAGAGAGCACAACTCCTGGCTTCTAGCTCAGAGGGAGAGCTACTTAGGGTAAGGGACATACTGCTAGCCAGATGAGGCAATGTTGTAGCAGTTTCTAGTGCCAGGGAAACACTGCACAATAACCACTACCAAGCCTATGCAGGACCACCCAAGACTACATGGCTGTCAACCAAAAGTCCTTCTTACCTTGGTCTAGTCTCTTGGCAACTCTCTCCTCCCCTAGTTCCAGCTTTGAACCCACTGAGGTGGGGGAGTTGGAATCTGAAAACAGGAATTCTTTAAAGGGGCTAGACCAGAAAGAATGGGTGAAAAGCTGTTGTCAGGTGCTGGGTAGATTATTAGGAAGAGAGCTCTGTAAGTTACATCATCCAAAGTTACAGACTTTAATAAATAATGATTGATGGATAGGAGTCAAGGCTAAGAGAAAGGGAAAACCTACACTACACATCTTCCAACCACCCTCCAAGGAAGTCACTTGGGAAAACAAAATAGTGGTTAAAGAATGACAAAGGCAAAACCAGGCCACTTTCCTCTAGGACCTTCAAAATGCTCAGGCCAGGCCAGCATCCTGCCTGGGAGATGACTGCATGCTGGTAGCCATAGCTTCCCTAAATAGCCCCTCCTGGCATATTTCTGCCAGATGGTCGGTCATTCTGTTCTGGAATTCTGAAAGTTCTTGGCTCTCCTGGTAATTGCAACCTGAGCCCAGAGAACTTGGTTCAACATTTTTCTCCTTGCTCCACCCCTGCAGTCAATAAGTCATCCTAGAGCCTGGACATAGAGGAGATAGGAGGCAAAAACCTCCCCAGTCCTGAGTTGAGTGTCTTGGTAGAGCAGTAACAGTATTGTTTCCATGGGATCTGGGATCACCTTCTCTTGCCCAAGCACAGGCTCTGATGTAAATGCTGTTTGCCATGTCTTGAATTTACCCCTAGAGCTATTCCACAGTTTTTTAATTGCAATCCAGAATTTCAACAAATCACAAATGCCATATAAACACAATCAGGATGTAGATCCAATCCGATTGTAATCACTAATAGAAAAGGAGAGAGAGAGACAGAGACAAAGATAGAGAGAGACAGAGAGTCACAAGCTCTTGACATAGTCTGGGGTAGCATGAGAGACAGTTCTGCAGGGTTGGGGGGGGAGTCTTGCTTCTGATGGGATTCTCCCAGTGCAGCCTACCTCCCTTCCTCCCCAATCCAGGGGTCACATTCGAAGATCTCTGGCCAGACAAAGGGGCTTAACCGCAAGCATGCAGCTGAAGCCTAAAAGGCTTTCTAGGAAGCTTGCAGGGTCCCAGAAGCCTTTTGAGCTAGTGTAGCCTCTAAGGACTCTAAACCCAATAGGGAAGTAGCCCAGCTGCCCACTTGCCCTCAGGCACTAAAGGATGCAACTTTCTTTGGGACTCCACTCCTGAGTTCCAGTTTAGAGAACCTGACTACACTCTGTGCCCACAGATTTCAAAGGACATCCTTCTCCTGTGCCTTTCCTTGCTTCTGGATTCTAGAGCAGAGGTGGAAGCAATGGGGAAGGCCAGCAAGCAGCATAGATGCTTTGCATTTGAACCTTAGGAACGTTATCACAGGTTTGAATTTGCTATATGCTGGGTGCTATATTTGTTACTTTGTAAACAATTTTGTCACACAAATGTTTAGGTGTATATACAAAGTTCCTGTAGTTACCCTAGCTGATAGTGTTGATATGGTGGTTGATATGTGCACGGGTAACACTAAGGGAATTTTCAAAACCTGCCTCCTGCCTCAAGAGAAAAGGGGGAAGGCATCTGATGGTACTTCTGGGGATGGTCTGTGATCTCTCCTCCTTGTCAATATCCTCGAGGTCATCAACCATACTGGCTGCACACAGAAACAAGGCTACTTCTCTGGGGCGATGTTTTTCTACCTGGAAGAACTGTCTTGGGGTACTAGAAACCCTAAGTTCTTACTCAGGGGTTGGTCTCAAATGGCAATTCTAGAGTCCAAAAGAAAAAGTAAAGTTGGAGGGCATGAGGCTCCAGTTCTGGGGTAATAAGGGGGAGACTGATGTTGTGGGGACATATGCTGGCCTTAGAGAAGAGAGAAAGGGTTAGGGTTAGTAAGAGAGCTCAAGAGATGGTGATGTAAACCTGTCACTTTAATCTGCCCACTAAGTTGCTTCCACTCCAGGGAATGGCACAGATGGAGTAGGCTCTGGAGGCCCCATCGTTAGCATCTCCAAAGACACCCCGGGATAAACAGTCGCACTCTGCACAGCCCACCCACGCGCAAGTTCCCAGCGCAAGAACTAACTAGCTTTCCCGGCTCAGGCTCAGGCGCTGGCAGACAAATCTTCCTCTCTCAGAGCCTGGGCTATGGAGCCTGATCATGCACTGATGGGACTGGGGGCTGCTGGACAGGGGCACGAGTGACTGGAGGGAGGCGAGGGGGTGGAAAAATGAGGGGCAGCGGGTGGACTAATGATGAAAAAGTCTCTTCCATCCTGGCTCCTTAATTAAATGCATGGAAAGAACCAAGGCGCGCACATCTGGTTTCAATCTACAACCCTTTGATGGCATCAAATGTTCTTTTCCCAGATCAGGGCTGGAAGTTCTGGGCTAACTATGGTCGTTTGGAGCCCAGAAACCATTTACGAACACTAGGACCCTTCCTCCTTTTCAATTCAAACTCATAGTTACGGGAGGGGGAAAAATCTAGCAATCAAGGGAATGAGGGGAAACGTATGTATGCATGTGTTTAAAGAACATAAAACCCCACAAATAAGCACTTACTATTTTACTTACTGGCTATATAGTAACTCATTCCTAATGAGACTATTAAAGCTGTTACCAGATTCCAACATGCCATGAAAACACCGCCAACACTTCTCTGTCCTCTGTCAAGCCTGGTCGGTGGACTTAGACCCTGGCTTCCTCAGACCTCAGACGCGGCGTCTGCCAGGACCGCACCCGGCTGGACACAGATTAGCACAGAGCCTACCCCCAGCTCTCCCAGTTCCCCCAGCTCTCAGCTCTCTCAGCCCCAGCCCGGGTGCTCCAGTCTGCTCCGAATTTGGATAGTCCAGCGCCTGGGAAAGTGACCTTGGTCACACCTAAGAAATTATTCTCCTTGGAAGGGTAGGGGAACGACCAGGACAGACTTTCCTCCTGTTTAATAAGTGTGTAAGTTTTCTACTGTCTGAAGCCTGGATATTTCTGGTGGCAGCGAAAGTCTCGAATCCATTCGAAGCTGAAGACTTCTGGATCTCCCCAAGCTGCCTTTAGAACGCAGAGCGCCTCCAGTTATTATCGCTCTTGTTATTTTATTACACTATTTAATAGGCTGTCTCTACAGAGCCAAAGGAGCTTTAATGGGCTTGCTCTTTTGCTTTTCTCAGCCTCTCTCTGTGCTCTTCGCCAAAACAAATCTGCAGGAAAAGTTACAGGGGGGGGGGGCGGGGCAGCAGCAGAAGATTTGGTTGTTGTAGATGTGCATTTTTCATTTTTTCCTCTAACAAGTTTGCCCTCAGCTGTTATCAAAGCATGCAAATGAGATTTTCCAACAGGATCTCAAACAAACCCGGAGGAGTTAATGCCCAAACAAAATAATCAGCCCGTTTAAAGTGACTGTGGGTCTCGGCTCTTTTCTCTCCGTGATACTACTGCAAGGGAATGATAATTAGACCTTTATTTTAAAAATCCAAAGGGGCTCTCTCTGCTTCCCTCTCTCACCCTCCTTCCTCCCTCCCTCCCTCTTGTTCCCTCCCTCTCTCTTTCTCGCTAAGGGGGTTTTCTTAATCAGGCTGTTTTTTCGGTCCCAGGGAAAGGAGGAAGGAGGTTGTGATGGAGAGAGGGGGTCTGTAAAACGTCAGGCGCCGCACAAAGGCTTTGCCACGTAATTACAGGCTCCTATTAAGTGGAGATCTGCCCTCCCAGGGGTCTCCAATTTTCTTGTATTCCCTACAAAGCCTCCTCTCCATGCCAGTCTGTGCCTTTTGAAGTGCCAGAGAGCTTCTTGATCCGACTGAGAAGGGGAGAGGAACTCAACGCAGAGAGGGGAGACAGAGAAGGGAAGGGGGGACCCGCCGCCCTCTGCTGACTCTTGAAGCCCTACTTCTTTATTTCTTATTTTTTTTTCCTCCTTACGAAAAGTAAAGTGAGAATCCTGCCCTCTAATACATCTGCAAGACATCACTCTCCTGAAATTCTAGTCACTCCCGAGAATCCACAGGAGTGCAGAGAGGGGAACGGCTTTCTTGAAGACATTTTAAAGCTGGAACAAGCCTCCTTCTGTTGGTGCTTGAACTCTTGCGGGGGAATAACTTCTTTAACCTTTTCTCCTTCTCCTTCTTCTTCTTCTCTCTCTCTTTTTTTTTTTAACCCACTTTGATTCTTCTCTCCACCCCTTCTTTTCTCTTCTGTTTGCCTAACTCCCCCGCCCTGCTGGCCTCCCCTTTTCTCTCTCCCCCTTATTATTATTTTTAGTGTCTGCGTGTGGACGCTTCTTGAGAGTTCGAAGAAATATTTTTTCTTCCTGCTTTAAGTATAGGGTAACTTTTAAAAAAGAAAGAAAGAGAGAGAAAGGAAGAAAGAAAAGAAAACTTTTTGGTGTGGATTGTCTCTTTGGACCGAGCCGGATTTGGCTTCAGGAAAGCAACCGAGTCTGCAGCAAAGATACTGGTGCCGAAAAGTTCTGCTCTTCAGAAGAGGGTCCTCTCTCTCTCTCTCTCTCTCTCTCTCTCTCTCTCTCTCTCTCTCTCTCTCTCTCTCTCTCTCTCCCTCTTTCACTCCCTCCCTCTACTCCCCCCTCTTTCTTCCCCACTCGGCTCCTCTCCCCCCTCGCGCCCACAGCGTTTGGTGTTGATTCGAGCGGGAAGAGGGGGGTGGGTGGGATTGGAGGGGAGACCATGACCTCCAGCTACGGGCACGTTCTGGAGCGGCAACCGGCGCTGGGCGGCCGCTTGGACAGCCCGGGCAACCTCGACACCCTGCAGGCGAAAAAGAACTTCTCCGTCAGTCACCTGCTAGACCTGGAGGAGGCCGGGGACATGGTGGCGGCTCAGGCGGACGAAAGTGTGGGCGAGGCGGGCAGGAGCCTGCTGGAGTCACCAGGACTGACCAGTGGCAGCGACACCCCCCAGCAGGACAGTGAGTGAGGGGCGCGTGCTCCGGGAAGGGGACAGCGGGTGGAGGCCCGGGAATGGTGGCTGCGAGCGTGTCCTAGGTTTAGGTTTCTGGAAGAGGTGAGGACGAGGAAGTTACGAGTTCTGGGGAAAGTGCTGGTCGCGGGACCGAGAAAGATGGGTGAGAAAAAGAGGAATCCTCTAAGGATGTAAGCCTAGCAGACGCTGGAGACAGACCGGGAGGCCCGGGGACGCTGGGAGGCGAGGCGATCCCAGACAGGGATCTTCGGCCAGGACTGTCCCCAGCAGCCACAGCTGCGTCTCGGTTTCTGGCGAGAGCGGCAGCCAGAAATCCCGCAGGCAGAGCGTCCGCATAGGGGTAGGTGCGGCCAGCCAGAGCGCAGACTGCACAGACACCTTCGTTAGAGAAAACGGTGGACAAATATGTTGGGTGGGCCCAGGAGTGCTTCTTCCGCGGGTGTTGAGGAGAAAGCACTGTGCTCAAGGGAATCTGGCAGAAGTCACTCAGGTTGCACATGCCAAAGTGTGTGACCCAGGTCTGGAAAAAGCCAGGGGCAGCGCGGGAATGCCCAGCCCTAGTTCCCTAGGCTTGCTCTCTGACCCCTGCTGTCACCTCTACCTGAGAATCAGTTTTGAGAGGAGCTAAAAGCCAACCCTTGATAAAGCGAGAGGGTTCTTTAGTAGCGAAATCCAAAACTCTGCCCAGCTTGATCTAGCACTGTAAGTGCACCTGGGATCGCGGGCCCAAGTGCTCTTGCAGCACGGCTTGTAGGCTCCTAGACCTCCTGAAAAGCCTATGTACTAGCTGCCTTCCCCACCCTCACTCACTGCGGACCTCCTCCCCATGAAATGTTCCTCTCAGAGTTATTAATGTCGCCCTTAGAAAAAGACTGACTGCAAGCATGTGTCATGGTCCATGAGTATGTAACACACTTGTCACCATTCTAGGTGGCCTCAAGTCAGATGCACACAGGTACTCTCTTCACTCCTGGAGGTTGCAGGAGTTTGGACCAGGCAGTAAGTTCTAAAATGCCCTCTTTCCTTATCTTTATATGCTGGTCGCTCTTTGTAGTTCGGAGGCCCTCAGACATTCTATGATTCTCTCAAGACACTGCCCATCTTAGACTTACAAATAATAATTTGAAAAAAGACATTCAAAGCAAACTAGCATCAGAAACAGCTGGAATGGTACCTGGGCACAGTAGTGGGGGACCAAGCTCACTGAAGCAGGCCACTGGAGAAACGTATCTGGTCAAGGCACTGGTACCTAGCTTTGTGGCCTTAAAATCTGTAGTCTGCTAGGATCAAACTAGTTCAGATGGCAGTAACCTGGGGGACAATCAACTCGGCATTGGGCCCACTGACTGCCACAAGAGCTGGATAAAGAGGTTTGAAGTAGCCACCCTAATTACAGAAATTAGTCCAAACCACACCCAGGAAGAACCAGTGTCCCCAAACCCTGGGTATGCACTAGGTTTGGAAAGATAGTCGCTCTGTGTCGTGTTTTGGGGGAGCTGATCTTGGTATACACACCAGCAACTCACAGATGGAGTATCTGAAGCTCTAACAAAAAGGACTATGAAATTCTACGGTTATCTAAAACCTTTCACTAGGGAAAATATAAAACAAAGTCAGGAAGGTCGTACCTGGAACTCCAGCTGCAGCTGCTCTGTAAGACTTATTATTGATCCCAACAGTTATCACTGTTGGAAGAACTGAATGTTAGAACCTCAACACCACCACCCATACACACTCCCCCAACAGAAAACACGCTTTAAAGAAGGTCAACGTGGGCAGGAGAGAGGTGATAGTATTGCTTTGCTCCAAGAGAAGGCTGGAGCATAGGAAAAGCAGGACCAAGGCTGGTACCAGCAAGCAAGAGCCTCAGAGTGTCAGTCAGCATCAGAAACTGCCGGGCTGGAAGAGGGCAGAAAGTACTGCTTTTGCTTGTTTTGTTTTCTTCTTTGAGGAAACCATGGAAGAAAGGATCTTGAGGATTGCTGTGGTCTTACAGTGGGTATCTAGAACAGCCAGGCTAAGGAAGCCATTGCAGAGCTGATTTGGAGGGGCTATACTGCAGGTGGTTGAAACTGAGCAATAGTTTGCATGAGAGGAGAAGCACCAAGGTCACATTATACATATGAATCCCCTGGACAAACTTAAGGGTTCTACTTGAGCTGGGGGGATTTTGTCCTCAGAGAAAGGGACAGCGCCCCATAAATCTGCCTGCATCGAACTCAGCCTCATCTCATACTTGTAGTGAATAGAAAGTGGGTGGAGAGACGACCCAGAGAGGAAATCTAGCCCCTTAAGGCTAACCTGAGGAAAAGATGCACCAAACAGGACAGTTACTAGTCAATGAAATGCAGGATAAGGTTAGTGGTATAAGTGACCAGCACTTAGGACTAAGAAAGAATTCAGGAGACCATAAACATATAGGCACATAGGCCGGGCTGACTTTGCCTTCGCTGGGATATGATCCACAGACAGGGCTGTACTAAGAAATTGTTGCTTTTGGAAGCAAAGTTTTCTCAACCTTCCTCTTCTCCATGGGGTGGTGGTGAGAGGGAGGGGTGATAACAAGACACTCTAGTCTAGTAAGACCAGCAGCTCTGTGGAACCCCTATCCTTATTCTTGGGCATTGGATAGAATGCAGAGGAAGTTGTGATCTGCTTGGAAACCACGATCTGTGGGGTGGTGCTGGTTCTTCAGCTTATAGGAGGCAGTAAAGCTTAGCTTATAGGCAGAAAAGGGGGGAGTCTGGAATAAATGAGAGCTACTGCAGAGATCTGGTTATAAGGACTTTAGGGGGTTACATTAGGGGTCATAAGGGATGGAGAAGTTCACAGGGTGTCAGGTGCTCTTAGTGGGAAAGGAAAATACTACTTAAAGCAACAACAAGCAGATGCTTCAGCTTGCCAGGTATATGGAAAGCTGGCCTCTCTAATTACCTATCTGGAGAAATTAGCACGCAGGTTCTGCAGATGCACTCAACATTAGATTACTAACTGTTCAAAAATTTGCATCTCAACCTGATCAATTATTGTAAAACAGAGTCCTCATTGGCCTCTCCTACACTAAGTCAATAATCCTGTCCTCCCACTCCCCTCAGCCTGGGCTGATGCTCCATTTTCCCTTTTGTGGAAGGACTGTTTTTATTATTGATTCTCCAAGCCCAGTGTATTTTTCTCAATCTTTTTGGTTTCTTTAGCAGTGTTGACAATCTACTCTATGGCTAATGTAGTGGAGGAACGTTTGGTGTATGGATGCCCCCAGTGAAGGCAGAGCACAGGGATAAGTAGGGAGGGAGAGGAAGGAATCGTAAAAACAGGCAGACTTACTCTTGGGAGGAGAGTTCATCCCTCTGTCAACTTCTTAATTTCAACTTCTGCAAACTCTTAAAAAAAAAAAAAAGAAAGAAAAACACGCCTGCCTTCCACATTCCCAACCTCTAAATTAGTGAAACCAGATTGTCCTAATAAGACCTTTTGTTGGAAACACATGTAGTCATAAAAAGGTAGACGGAAAGTCAATTAGACACGCGCGCGCGCACACACACACACACACACACGCGCACACACACACGCAATCACACGCACACATTCACCAGCCAGCGCTAAGTGTGCGCCCCGACACAGCTGGATCCCGGGCGGGTGATTGCAAATGGGGAACAGCGGCGCGGGAAATCGATTTGTCACAAAGAGAGAGGTGTAGCAGGCAAGCGATCACCCTCCTGACCCACCAACCTCACTCACGCTGGCCCAGCTCCCCAATTCCTCCAAGCCAGAGGAACGCCCAGGAGAGCGGGGACATTCTCGAGGGCGCTCCCCAGTTGGAATCCTCTTCAAAATAATATCAATTTCCTCTCTTTTTTTCACAGTCTCATTTCGCAATAGTTATGGCGCCAGAAGTATCTTTCGTGGCTCCTCCCTGGGATTTATGCCCCACGCTGGTACTCTGAATTTGAACTCAGGTCTCAGTGATCTTAATTCAAGATGGAGATAATAAAACATCTTTTAAAGGGTGGCCTGGAAAATTCTGCTTTCATGGGAGCAGAGAATGAAATTCAGGAGCAGGAGCGTCTCCAAAGCACTAAACCTAATGCAAAGGCTGGCGGTGAAATTTTATGCACAGGGGCATTTAAAATTGTCAGAGAAAAAGACAATCCAGTAACTTTCAAGTTTGGAGACCCGGGACAACTTGGCGTTTGAGGTTGTTAGGTCCTTAGGAGCCTGGTACCCTAGCTGAGCAGAGACTCTTTGAGGATCCAGATCCACAAAAACAACTCTAGGCATCACTGTCCCGATCTCATTGAAACCCTTCCCAATACCCTGTAGCATCCTAGTCTTAGCCTTTGCTCCTCACCGGTGACCTTTCTTAAGAGGCCCTTAAGGCAGAGCACTGCGCAGCAGTGGATCACACCAGTGTCAGTAAATAGTCAGTTTTTCTGTTATCTTCCCAGGACAATCATTTTAGGTTTTACAGCAGGAGCGAATAAATAATCCCCAAACCAACAAATGCCCCCCACCCCGCGCCCCTCGTAAAACAGTCTATTCCAAAGCAATGGGCACTTCTTATAGTACGGATTCCAGGACACAGTTTTTATATTGCTTCTAGCTAGGACCGAGTTTTGGATAGTTTTGCCCTCTGCTCCAGGCCGCACATGGAGCCCGGTGCACTCAATGACAGCTGTAGATTTTCAGCTCTGGGTGTTCCTAGACCAAGTGGATGTTTTATTTTAAAGAATTTACAATTCTCTTCCTATGCTGTGTTCCTGGGCTCCCTGTAGAGGTGAGGGAGCCTCCTCTGTCAAAGCAGACCCCAGTGCCACCTCAGTGGGGGAAAACACTAGAGATGCTGCTACCCAGTTATTGCAAACTTCTGCCTGCCTGCGGATTTTGCACTGCAACCCCGGGGAGCCTCCATCCTCTTTGTTGCTGTGGAATGTTCATTTTATTAACCCTATAGAAGAGTCACATGAGGAACCACTTTGAAACTAGAAG